AACAAAGAAAACAACAAAGCAATAAGGTAAGCCCATTTTATTTCAAAACAAGACATTTTTTTCTCTCTTTTAAGGCAAACCGATAACATCCCATACAAACCTTTATAAATATAAAACGTTGCGCAACACGGTAAGAGTCACGTCCGCTTTTCTTGTAGTGAGCTTGGGCTGCCTATGATTTGCATACTTTATAAGCCAGAGAATTCAGTCATTTTACTTAGTGCGAACCTAGGTTTAGAAAGAGGATGGATTCGTCGGAATACGAAGGATTATTTATTACACAGAGCTCCACGAAGGCAGATATTTCGGCAGAAATCGAAGGGCACTAATCACTCTCAGGCGTTCTTCTGCCACACGGTTGTATGGTGGTGCTGTTTCAGAACAACTTATCCAAGAAACGACTGGTCATCGGTCTTCCGATGGTGTCAGAGCATATAAATGTACCTCATCAGCACTCAAAAGGGAAGCAAGCGAAATTTTGCAGTGTTTTCTTTCAAAAAAGGCTGTAATTGATGTCGAGAAAAAGGAAGAAAACGGTGCTGGGGAAAATAATACTGCACGAGAGGTTAAAGTAGTGAGTCCGGAAAAATGTGATCAAGAGGGTAGTAATCAGTCAGTGGTTGTTAGCACTAATTCCACTACTATCAGTCTCAATATTTTTAATATTGCAGCATGCTTATTTAGCGCGTTTAATTATATTACCCCTGATAATTTCCCTGCTAACAAAAAGAGCCACCTCCGTTTTCCTCATGCAGTTGTTTTGTCATCTTAAAGACTACAATCGTTGATTTAATGCAGAGAGAGAACAATAAAATTTCATGGGGATCATTAATTATTGACAGTTGTTCCTTGCGAAAAGTTTAGAAAAGTTTAGTACACTCTCGAGACAACAGTTTTCGGAACTCTTGCAGTTTAGATTGCCGGCGAGAGCGAAAGGGTAATTTTTTTCTCTGCAGTGTACAGGGCTAGTTGTCGTAGGTTTCGTCGTTTTTGGTCTGAAATATTCAGAACAGATGTTTGCGATCATTTTTCTCGTAATGTGGTCAAGATCTTTTCACCCACTTTCTGGGTTTCTAATCGGGTCAAGAAATTATAATCGCTTTACAATCCCTCGATCGTGTATGTTTCTCAGCGAACGCTGTGTCTCTCCTTTTTTGTTGTTATTCAGGTGTGAAGTAGAATGGGAAGACGCTTTCTTAGGACCCAAGCTTGAAGATATATCCCGGAGACGCCTACCCGAATTTTCCAGGGGCATGCACCCCCAGGAAGTTTTTTTAGCAGTCAATTTTTTGTGTTAGAAGGTCTTTGCCAAATCAAGAAACTTCTAGTGTACAATACGTTCAAAATTCAACGGAATTAATTCGGTAATTCAGTAAAACGAAAGTGCCGCTGTACTCTCTCGTGCTGCGGGTTTCGTAAGATTTCTTTCAGGACGCTTCTTATACTTTCATGAAATTTATTGCTTTTAGGTTGTCCCTTTCTTTACCGACCTTTGTCGAAACGATTTGATGGTCATTGCTCATTATATCAAGTTTTTTTTCTCTTGACAAGTATTTTTATCTCGTCACGTTTGACACTAGGAAGGGTCAGATGAACTAGGCTCAAAAATTGGAATATAATCTTTGAGTGTCACCCCTGAGAATATGGCACCATGCCCAAAATTAGGCTCAACTTTTTTTCCTTTTGCTTAATTCAATAATTAAGAATGATAGCTTTCCATTGCACCTGAACTCCCCTTTTCATTTTAATTACCAACAGGGAAAACTTCTTAAGAACTGAAAAGGCTAATCGAAGTTCAGAACAACATTTTACTAGATCAGTGCAAGCGACAAATTAATTAAGAGCAGGCTTTCTGTTCAGACCGTGACTCAGACCAGAGAATTTAGCTTTTGTCGAACTGTAACATCAAGGGATTTTGAAGAAGTATGGTAATATTATGCCGGCATTTTTCTCGATGCCTTGGCTATAGCATCATTCCCAAAATTATGCTGCTATAGTTCATCTCACCTTACCGAGAAACAACTTCACGTTTCATGATTATTCTGCAAAAAGGTGCTAGTTTTCATTTCCTCTCTTTAGAACACCCGAATCTGTTATATCGCGAAGACGTGAGGTAAAAACCTTTTTGACAGGGATATTCAGCATAGAACTGACAATGTCGATCGGTGAAAAACAATCCATTGGGGAATCATAATAAAGTTAGGTAGGTTCTTGAAAGAAGAATATAAATAATAACGGATTTACCGTGAAGAGCGACAATCCGGTCATAATATTGTGTCAATCTTGTAGTTGCACGCAACAAACAACTTTTTAGATAAGACTGCGACTTACTTTGGATTAGGAAGGAATCATAACCGTTGTGTTTTGCAGATTTTGAATTGCAAATTTTAGCGTTTTCAAGAAGCCGGCATACCTTTAGACTCGTCAACCTCCTTTGTCTACCACAAATAGTCACCAATTAGATTTTAATCATCAGTGTAACTGGAAACCTATCAAACGACAGATTATTTAATATTCAAAGCGTTTTAGGTTTCTTTCCAAAGATTACTTTAAGCTGGACTTTGCTGTTCGAACGGATCTATTTTTTTTTTTCGGCTGGACTACTAATACCAGTCCCGAATTTGAAGATCGTATAGCGAAAGCAGTATTACCACCATGCAAGATTAACCCTAATATAAACTGAAATATTCTCATGTCTTAGTAGTTAATAGGATTTGAATTGTTTCCGAATTCCAAACACTTCAGAAACAAATTCTGACCTGACCCTATATGTTTCCGGAACAGATCTCACGTCTAAGAGCGTCTTTAGGGGTGTTGTCATATTTTATCCATTATGAAAATAAAGTCGCAATGTTTCGGCTGATACAACATCTCTAACGCGCGCACTCTTTTCCAACAGCCCAAAAAGTGACACGTAACGACAACCTTTTCTCTTTCAGTTTTTTTTGTCTACAGGTATTCACACTGGCGAGTGGTGCTATATCTCAATCAAAAGAAGACAAAATAAGCTTTACAGAAAAAAATATTTTGCTTCCAAAAATGCATGTATTTTAATTTCTGCGCAGAAAATGGCATAAAATTTGCATAACATATCAAACGACTTTTGACTTTGAAACAGCCTGGGCCTAAATGGAGTGGAGTTACAAGGAACATTAAAAACAGAAAAATATTTCTTATTTTATTGGCAAGACGTCCAGATAATTTTTCTGAAAAAGAACACATACAGAATTACAATTTTTTTGTCAAACTGTACCCCAAAACCTTAAAAATTGACCCAGATTATTGAAAAAAATTTTCCTCACCAAGTATTTACACCAGGGAAGTAAGCTATCAGTAATTTGAAAGAGAAGTAAACAAGCTTTCCCAATGTAAATGTTGAAGTCTATGGTATAACCATTAGAACTATCAGCAAGTACCGGTACCCACAGTTTTATTCCCCACTTAATTGGTGTACTCTTCATGTGCTGCTTGATGCCACACCTGTGACGTGACTTGACCATACGCTCATCAATGGCCACCCGTTTTCTACGTTGATACAAAGCAACACATCAGGATTTAAAATAATCAACAAAGGACTCTACTTTATGTAACTTGTTACGGGCAGCCTCATCTGCAGGAGATACAAGTTGCAAAAAGGCCATGAACCCTTGAAATCGTGATGGTTCTGGACATGATAGACCTTGCCCAAAGACCATGGTAGAGGGTCTTAGTACTCCAATACTTTTCTGCAGTCATACCAACTTCCACTATACCAAAATAGATCAGAAGGGCTATCAAGCGGTATATCTCATCCGGTGTTGTGTCCTTCCATCATCCATCCGCTTGAGTGTAACTTTCATGGGAACGTTCAGTAATGCATTGAACAGCATAGCTGTTTTGGTGTGCTCAACAACATCATTCGCCAGTTCAACAGTAAAAAATAATTTAAAGAACTCAAAAGCAGTTTGCATCTTACCCCTAAGCAAACGCTGTTCAAATTGTACCCCAGGGGGACGTGCAGGTGTAAAGGGAGGGGGTGGAAACTGATCAGACGGATTTCCCTCGTCCTCATCATCGTAGGATTTATACTGAAGTATCCCCTGAGGGTGGGGGTGCACGTGTTGTGGCTCTACGATGTCCATGACCTCTAGCAGAACCTCGAGCTACTAAAGCACCAGCTCTAGCACCTTGAACACCACCAGTGCCTCGGCCAGCAGGTACCCTTCTAGCTCTGAGAGGACGACGAGACCTTGCACGGTTATTAAACTTGCCTCCGGCGTGAGACGTGGAAGGCACTGGATCAACAGAAACATTATCATCAGTGTCTTCACTATCCGTCTCGCCCTCATTCTCACTAACCTCTGGAACTTCTCCTTCAATCCAATCAAGATCTTCTGCTTCTTCCTCTAGCCTCTTCCTCTTCGGCATTCTCACACTCACTTATCTCTCCAATGTCTTCTTCCGATTCACTAAAGAGATGAAACATTGTGTATATTTCTTGGTTTCATTTCTGAAATTTTGTCTTGAAACGAGGACAAATGAGATAATCAAACCCTCAAAATACATAAAGCGTAGCATATTAACGCGAAACAGGTTACCTTCACGCTAAAACGGAGAAGCGCCGCAAGCGTAGAAATGGCGGGAAAACAAGGTCACTTGGTCACTTTCGCCGTTAACGTTTCATGTGAGCGCGTTTCTAAATTTCTCTATTCGTCATTTTCTGGAGCGCGGGGCTGTGGAAGCACTAGGTTAACTGCCCTTTCTTCTCATTATTCTTCGACTTCGGGAGTTTGGGAGCAATCGATTAGTTAACGTTCGTAAGTGACCATTCAAGACCACACGCTTTACGTATTTGAATATCGCAAGAAATGTTTACTCAGTGGTTTCTAACCTTGATTCTCCGCTATAATTCTCCAGTTACTTGTCTAATTCCGATTCCTCACCACTAGACATACCACCGTGCTCACTTTCGTCGTCGAAAATCATCTCTGAAGCCTCAGCTGTGCCTCCGAAGCTTCGCAACGGACGCCATTTTCTCAAATTGAGATCGTAATAAAGTGATTTTCGCAACGGCTCCCAAAGTCACGTTTGATAGATCGGAGCTGAAACTCGCCATGGTCCATGGGGGGGCATCCAGAGGCATCGTCTTCCTTCAACTGTATTTGAATGTAAAACATTGAATAATGACTGGACAATGGAAAAATATCTACATTTGTACGCTGGAGGGTTTTTAATGCTTTCTCAGTACTTAGTGATATGTAGTTTCAGCACGTTCTCACGCAGGCGGTGCAAGCAAGCCTTCTTCCATCTTGTCATACCCCGACGTTCTTATAAAGGGGTGTGCGGGTAGATTGCGCGAGTGAACCAGTAACTAGAACAAGCTTACTGCGGCGTGTTAAACCTCAAAATTAGGAGAAAATTTAGGAGCTAGTGATATGATGTACTAATGCTTATAGACTAAAAGTTATAGCCGGTGATGGCTCTCGGTCACTGAGCCGAGGTCGAGCGAAAAATGTTCATGATCAATGTTTGTCATAGAGAAAAATATTGAGCCATGCTTTGTCAAGTGCTAAATGATATGATCAAGAAAAAATAAGAACAAATAATATGTATCTATCTTTGGCGAAAGACTGGCTAACCGTGAGATAGGAATAAATAACATTATTTTAAGTCGAAAATGTGGGTCGCCCAGTCTCCAGACCCAAAACGCTCGACCAAAATAAATGTAGATAATTTGCACAATGATAAAGAAAGGCGAAAATAAGGTGGAATGGAAATTACGCTAATTATGTCTGAGGCTAATATCCATACACTAGTACACTTGTACTATTTTACAAAGTCAGTATAAAATCTGTCAGGATCAAAATGAGATTTTATGCTATTAAAGCACCGGCACCCAGGAAGCTTGACATTGACCAGGTGCAGGTTAGAGCGAAATTGCTTTTAACTCTTGCAGGGATATTGCTCTTTCTTTGAAATAATGCATGACTTGTAAAGTGGATTAGATCTCAAGCAATTCTACCTTACATTTTTTTGGAGATAAAATGCTATAAAGGTTCCTGATAATAGCACGCGATAATCCGTACATTAGCGCCCTCCTTTTGCATGATAACTGTCTTTCTTATCACGGCGATATCCGGTCTGACAGGTGGATAACTGGCTTAGAGCAGTGTTATTAGGTCATCAAGACTTCCGGTTCTTTTTCATAGGTGGAAGTGCCCTGCGTCAGAGGAGAATGAATTAGGCACAACCTTGTTCCCAGGGCCTTTTCCCACAACTAAGGGTAAAGGTCCTGGGTACGAGATTGAATTAGCATAGAGTTTCTGCCCTATCTTTCTGTGCCATAGTTTGAGGGTTTTATCGGTTAAAGGTCGGCTGCGTAAAGCTGGCCAAGCAAACTTGCTGGTTTGTCCTGGCCACGTTATCAAGCTACAAAACCCCGACTGTTACCTAACACTGTCAAAAAGGTGTAGGTGATAGGAAATTCTGACAGAAAAATTTAACACTGGAATCGCAGTAACTAAACGAAAGAGAGGAATTATTTCGGGCTCACAAGCAGAGAACTTTTTTGTTTTGAGTTCGAGGCCGTTTGTAAACGTAATCTGTATGTAAGAGTGAAAAATTAAAGCTAACGGACGCGTTATTCCCCTCAGACTCAAACTGGGCATATGTGATATATTATCTCTTTTCACGAAAACAGTCCAAGCATACAAAAAGTAAGGCCATCGTATATTATGCGGATTTAATGATCGCTGGATATGAAAGTCAATAAAATACTTCTCTTGTCAAGATGTTAGATAACACTTTGAAAGAATTTCGATGTTTCGATTCCAAGAGACAACACAGCGAGGGTATTGTTTAATGCTTCGGTTTTTTTCCCATATATTCTTCCATAGGGGCAAAAATAGAAACCGAATCGGCTCCTCCATAAAATAAAATACAAAAGAGCTTCGCTTGCAACAGGCGATCTCAGGCCTGGGTAAACCTGTACGTTTGGAAAGTAATTTAAGATATGGGAGCTTCTTTACTCCTACGCTAGCTGGTCCCAATCCTTTTTCATTTTTCAGCGTAATATTGCACTACCCCCTGGTAGTGCTCCAGTCCACCAGAGTTTTCGTAATGAGGGAAATGGCTTTGAGTCGAACGGAAAAACTTTCCCCTACTGTTTCCTGTTTTTAAGTTATTGAGTCAATGTAGAGTCAGTTCAAATGCATCCAAGTACTACTAAAGCTAAGAAGTTTGGCCTTGAGTATAGTAACCTCCGCATTGATATGCTATCACTAGATCAGAGATAACTGACAGATATGTGATATTTACAAGAGAACGTTTATTGAGGGGAGCATAACCATTACTTTTTGGGAAAAAATATATAATTAAAAAAGTTTTGGTCATTTAGCGAGCCGAATACCTTGTATGCCGAACAGAACTCTCTAACCTCCAGTGATCGATGTAAACAGCAATATATAACGTTTAATTGTATATCTATATATAAAAAAAAAAATAAAAAAATAAAAAAATAAAAAACAGTTGACGTTTTATTTACATGCCGTTGTTCCTTGGCGGGCCTGAATGGTCAGAGCAAAGCTCGAGTCGCCTCAAAAATTTCAATTTCAGAATGGCCGGCAGAGGAACGATTCACTTAAATCACCGTATCATATACATCATTTTGTCTTTCATCGAATTGCAGTTATCTGAATTGATATCTATGACCAATTCAAAACGTGACGATTGCACATTACTAAAATAGTCTCACGGTAAAGAAACGAGTTATTGATATAGCCAGGGGTCATAGGATCTCACAAACATAGCGTTGAAAACATCCTTCCAAAAATGCCTAGAACTATTAATTAATCAGCATCCAGAAGAGCGACGGTGGAACTGTATACGAACGAATGGAGTCCCTTGTGATAATTATGATTAACGTAGATTATGATTATTGGACCGCGAACTTATCTGATCCATCGATCCGTCTTACTTAGCTTACTTGGAGATGCTAGCTACCAGTCTACACTGTCAAGTATCCTATTTTTCGGAAGACAAGATAAATGTTTGATTTTGACCACATGATTAACATGATAAGAAAGAGCAATATTCCGAAACTCCGGTTCGTTGTCCTTGCAACCCAAAACCGATAATGCAAACAATTGATTTACAGCACAACACCTCAATTCAAGTGTATTGGAATTTCAAATTTGATTAAATGGACCCTAATCTATTGAATAACGAACGGAATCTTAATTAATAACACACAAAGTTCAGGAGCATAGAGTGGGACACAGATCTAAAGGTCAGAGTCAACTTTATTTCCAGAAAAACCACGCGCCTTTGCACTAAATACCGCTTTCGCCCGTGCTACGACGCCCCATCATCACACAGTGTGGCGCCATGCTCGTAAACTTCCGGAAAATTCAAACCGGTTCTTTGACGAGCGAATGGCACTTTGTGGATTGATAAGCAATCACTTTTATTTTTTTGTCCTTTGTGAATGACTCATTGACGAGATTTGCCCAAGGGTATTTCAATAGCCTGTCAAGTGGGGAAATATGACTCAACTTACCTCAGCGATATTTTTGCAACGGCCTTCATATTACAACATTGGTCACGTGACTTCGTAATCAGTCACAAAAAATCAAAAATGGCGGCCAATTGTTGGCGGTAGAGGTCGCGCCATTAAACATTTTTATCTTCGGCCGGCTCGAAAGCCACGCCATGTCCAAGAAGGGGAACGAGCCACGAATTGTAAACGTTGCTGTTGTTGGTTTGTCTGGCTTAGACAGAGATCAAGCTTTTTTCGGAGTGGGGAAGTCGTGTTTGTGTAACCGCTTTGTTCGGCCCTTGGCCGACGACTATCTCACAGAACATTCTTCAGTATTTAGTTCCTCTGATTTTGGCGGACGAGTGTTGAACACCGATCAGTTTTTGTACTGGGGACATTCGACAAAGACAGCAGACGATGGCAGCGAATTTGTTGTTCATGTCATTGAGCAGACCGAGTTTATCGACGATGCGACTCTTATGCCTTTATCTCGGGGAGGGCAGCTTACACCATACCCAAAACGGTGTGCAATTTCAAAACTCTCGTCCCCTGAAAAGTTGATGTATATCAGCCGAGATCAAGTAGCTTTACAGAGCGACTACCAACAAGTCATTCTACCCGGAGGAAAGATTGCTATCGATGGTTTTCTTGTCGTTTACGACGCCGAAGCGACGCAGTCGAAGAGACTCGAGGAGCAACAAGAGCGTTTGTTGTCTTCCATTCTCACTTATGTGCAGAAAAGTAAAAAACCTTTTGTGCTTGTGGCAACAAAATGCGACGATACACAACTTAATTTACTACAGGAGGTTCATCGTTTTGCTCAATCTAAAAAGTTGAATGTTCCGATCATCGAAACTTCAGCTCACGAAAATGTGAATGTGGACTTGGCGTTCTTAGTTTTGGCACAACTCATCGAACGCGGACGGGCGCGTTCTAAGGTTATTCCTTTCACAGAGGCGCAGAAAACTCAACGAGAATTATTAGAGAAAGCCGTTCAGGATTTTCAAAGGCTTATTGATAGAACAGTGATCGATTTTCGTGTGATCTGGAAAAACACGAAAAAGTTGGTGGAAAATGAAAGGGAGTTTCAAATCCACCGCGATCTTTGTGGGCTGGAAGCTTGCAAGCGACTTTTTAATAAGCACATTCGAAAGTTGAGGAAAGAATTCGAAGAAAGGAAGCTGAATGGATACTTGTCTAGACTTCCAAGTGCATTAGATGAGCTTATACCTAGTGCATCTTCGATGGAACTATGCCACTGGAACTGGAAAAATTGCCAAAAGGCGATTCGAAATCACAAACAGTTTGAAAAGTGGATGATAGTGGAGGAGACAGCTTGGAATGAAAGCGATCATCTACTCCAAGACGATCCACGTGTTCCGTTTGACATTTTGTCTCTCCCACGGGCTGAGAAAGTATTTCAGAACCATGCCGAAAAGTTAAAAGCCGCGGAAAAACGGCTCCGTATGATGAATGAATTTCGTAAACTGCTAGAGTTGACGCCGCAAATTCGGCCGGGTACAACGTGGGTAGACGCGGCTGTGCTGTTGGAAAACGAGGAAAGTTTTCAGTACTTGAACGACACAGACAAAACAAAAATTTTTGACACCTACCGTCGTGACATAACCGAGAAAGCCAAAGCCGATTTTCAAGAGTTGTTATTCGAATCAGCAGGGTTGTTTTCAAAACTTGAACCCAATACGCGACCCTCGATTTCTCACGAAGACATAAGGGTAATCAAAGAGGCGTTGAGCGAGGACGACCGTTTCAAACGGCTCGATAAATTGGACAGCGATCGCGAAATTGGCTTGATAAATCATATTGCTCTGCTGTACAGCCCTACTAGATGCCTTAGTGGAGCGGAGAAATGCCGCGATCGACTCATGCAAGAGATTGTAGCAACGACCACATACAGGTATAATTTTTATCTATTTTAGAATCGTCTGCTTTGTCCTCGCAAATAATTGATGAAATATAAGGTTGTAAGTTCCATTGGGACCAATTTCAACTTGGGTAATCACGAGTAACGCTTAATCACATTGGAATATTGCACTCGGGGTGTTGTTTTTTTTTGCTGGCTTTTTTTAATCGGATTTAAATCATCAGTAGTTGCTTTTATTCACTCCTCGTAACACTGAAGACATATCCCTCACCAAGCTCATCGTCGTAATTTTATGCAAGTCAAGCGTTCTGCTCGTGCTTCAAATTTTCAGCTAAGTACACAGAGATTTGGAGCCGCTTATTTTATTTGTCAGGTCTTATTTCAAAATATTTGCACTTATTTTGGCGAAACAGAAAACATTCCAACGTTTGTAACCTCAGGGAGAATGTTTTGTTGTCTGCTTTCTTTTCACACTCGTCCATTCATCCAAAAGGCCTTTGTATAATCAGAAATTATATGCACATAATTTCTGAGTTGGAGATTTCTCATGCATGTAATAAAATCTGTTTCAAATGTAAAATATTTGTCTATTCTCTTTTGGTCGGAAATTTCCTTTTTTGTGCTCTTTTGAGGGTTTCATTTTATCTTAAATGAAAACTTTGACCTCCAAGTGGTTAACAGAGTTGAGAGTTATTGCACTGTTTTAGTTGATTTTTGAAATTCAGTGATCAGGTGCAGTTGAAATGTGGGCATAAAGGCAACTAAAAAGAAAATTGGTTGATGCAATATCCAAGTTACACGTATTTCAGTTTTAAATTTCTAGTCAAGAATTATATTTTCCATGGTCCTTCAATAATTCTTTAAATTTGTGCTTCACTTTTTTCTCTTTCTTATGTTAATTAAGGCCGACAAATAAATTATGTTATCATTTTTATAAGCTTCTTTGTTGGAGCTGAATATTTGTTTTTTGAGATTCTCAAGTGACTGGTGTAATCTTTGTTTTGGCTGTTTCAGGGATATTTATTGAAATTACATGTAATTTCATGTGCACCTGCCTTTCATCACACAAAGCAAGATACTGTTGTAGCATTTCTATGCATGCAATCTGTTTTTCTAGTAAAATTTTATTAAAAGCAAAGTGGATCAAAAATCTTTTAAGATAATTATATATTCAAGTAACATTATTTTACTGTTTTGGAGCAAGTAGTAATTAATTTAAGAAGCTATTTTTGTGCTGTGTTATTGAGGTCACTGAAAAGCATTTGAACAGTTGAACATAATTGTGTGAAAATTTATATGCCTAACACTTGTCTGAAACAAGTTTAGGCTGGTATCCTTGTTTTACCAAAACTAGGGAAAATCAGAATGCATTAGAATGTCAGTTATTATGCAGATGTTGTTTTTACTAGTAGGTAGTTTTTTTATAGTCTCTACGTGTTTGTCTCATTTAAATTTAAGAGTATCTTTAAAATAAAAAATGTCGATGCAGGGAGTGAGTTAAAGATGATGTCATGCATTTACATGTGGATGATTCATTGTTGATTGGAAAAAAAGTCAACAAAACAGTTGAAGGTTGATGCAGCTTAATTTCTAGAATGATGGAATTATTAGATATTCCACTAACATGCTTTCGTCAATTATTTTCAACGATCTTGAATTAATCTTATCACAATGGAATTTGATTGTGGTTAACTGTGAAAGTTGGAGATTATTCTGAAAACTCTTCTAATGCCTAAAGCATGAATCACAATTGTTTTTTGTCAGTTTTTATATGGATTTCTTTTACAGAGAGCCATGTAACTGTTGAGATCAGTCAAGCTGTGTTAAATTTTAACATGGACATAACGGCACTTTGTAAACATTGTGGATCTGTTTTTGCTTACACAACAAAGATTGTTCATTTGCATCACTGATATCGTCTTTCTGTGGGTTTATCTGAGTAATACACTCCTGTTAACATGTTTTAGAAGATACAACATGGGATTGAGCAAATATATTTGTAATTAGTTATGAGTTTTTTCATGATAGTAAGACTTTGGTTAGTTTCTCATTTTGTAATGTTGTTTTGATAGGCCAACATTCATGGATAGCAGAGAGACACTGGACAGCGATGACAGCCAAATTAACCTGCTTATTCTTGGCAGTGGAGGTTTTGCTCAGGCCATGGAAAGTGAAATTCGGGTATGTACATGTTTCCCTCCTTCCCTGATTGTACATGGTAACAGATTGCAGTGTGTAACAATAAGAACATAAAGAACAAAAATAACCGGGGGGAAAAAAAAAACAGAACTACCCATAACTCATTCCTAGTTTGAAACCATTTAGCCTTTTCCACTGTAACATCAGTATGCATCTTCTCCATACTGTTCTTAATACATTGTTATGGTACTTTCAAGGAGAATTTTTCTAACAATCAAGAGCTTTTTGAGTTTGCAATCATTTCCTTTATTCTCCTGACCTTAATTGTTTGATTCAGAGGTGATTCTGTTGGGAGGAATTAGCTGTTTACCGCTCTTAGGGGTTAAAGTGTGAAATGTCCTGCATAACTTTTGCTCTCAAAAAGCCAAAATTTGCTCTTATTGAAGCTGAACGGTCCTCAGTGTAATGTTGAAGTTTGTACATCTAGGCCTCTGCTTTTTACTTAATATTAGGGGAATTCAATAGTCTAAAGGGCTTGATACTAATGGTAGCTCACTAGCCACAGACTAATAGAAATTCAGGTTTGGCTAGTGATTTTTGATTTCCACTAGCCAGTTTGGCTGGTAAACAAACTGAAATTGTTGTAACATCCAAGAAGTCATTAGCCACTTGGCAAGTAAGTTGAAAAGTTAGTGTCAAGCCCTGGTCTGTCGTATATTATTTTATTTATTTCCATCATTTAGTTATGTTTATTTGTCTGACATTACAGACCCAGTGTTCATATGGAGATCCAGACAATCTAGAATTTGCCCTTGACGGGCGCATGTATGAACTGGACTATCATGTGGTTGATGGTGACATGGATCGACCAGAGTATGCACTCGCTGGGACTGACTTGACTACACAAGGTGAATAGTAAGAGTGAAGCAGTTTGTAGGGCTACTAATAATTAAGAAAGAAGCAGGCAATTAAAAAACAGAAGGCACCTGGAGTGCCATATTTATTTTCAAACCACATTTTGACATTGGCTGTGATTTTTAACTGGACAGACCCATGGCAACATGTATTCTGAGTGACCGACACAGAATTTCTCCTAACAATGTTAATGTGATATCAAGCAGACAAGTGATGAGAATATAGAAAAATATCAACAAGGGGATTATTAATTGATTCAGCACCCAATTCTTCAGAGTAATGTCATAAGAGTGGTGTAGCAGAGAGTAAGTAGAATTGCTAATAAGATCCCGGGAGCAAAAGGGTCAAGTGAGTTCGTTATGCATACTACAAATGGTGTCTGAAAAGTTAAGAATTATTTTGCAACTTACATGTACCGGTATATCTTATACTGTTTACAATGCATCTACTATTATCCAGGCTGTTTCTGTGTCTATGGTTCTCCCAGTTCTCTGGAGTTTATTCGCTATTGTCTGAGTGAAATGGGCGAGAGATGTAAGTATGACAGTGTGGATGACTCAAACCCAGTACAGCTTCCTCCTCCAACATTCCTTGTCCTGGCAAGGAATCTTAGTGATGATGATATTATCCATCAATTGAGAAAGGAAGGTCAAGAATTGGCCTCCAGGTATGTTATATGGTTGTCTTGACTATTTCACCAAAAGTCTAAGTACCAGGGTAATCACTGGTTTAAGAGTCCAGGGTTTATATAGACATCACTTTTTGAGAAAGTTTAGAAATTATTTTATTGAACAATTGTAAAGTTTGGTGGAGTTTCATCCAAGCCTCAGCCAGCTAAGAACATTTTGTGTCAGTAAGATAAATTTAGTGTCAACTTACATAAGGTTTAGACAACTGAAAAGCTTGATCTGAAAATTTCCATATCAGGATAAAACCTAAGCAACCACACCACTGGCCATTTGATTTAATGATAAGGTTGAGTCTGGTTACTTTAAACAATGACTTGGACAACTGTGGACTGGGTTTTTTTTAATCTGATTTTGAAAATGTAGTACGCTGAATCAAGTTAATGAGCAGTTCATAAAATAATAAGTTTTCTCGGTGGTAGTTTCCACATATAGATGTTCAGTGTAAAATGATACATTCTTTTTATCCATGTCTCACAACTGTCAAGATTGTTTCCTGCCCTGTGCAGTGTAGCTGATCGAGCAGGATCCTTTGGGAGTACAATCTAATGTTCTTGTTTCCGATTTGTTCTTTTGTGATTCAGGTACAATGCAACATTCATTGATTTACCAGTGGCTCGCTTCTCACACGGGAAAATGATTCATGAGACACAAGTTGTGGATGCCATGCGAGGACTGGTAGAGAACTTAAAGCAACAGGCTCGTACCAATCTGTCTATAGAAGATCTGAAAGACAGTGATCCAGATTTGAAGTAAGAGCTTTCGTCATCAGTTTTATGTTGATATTTTCATGTATAACCAACGTTTTACCTGGTTTGTTACTTCATGGATATGCATGATGTGGCAATTCGGTTTTATCAACTCGGGTGAACTGGTGACTGGAAATCGAAAACCACTAGCCAGAACTGAATTTCTACTAGTCTGTGGCTAGTTGGCAACCGTTAGTGTCAAGCCCCGAATCCTAATTTTATACTTCCCACACCCAGTTGAAAGTTGTTTTTCTGAGCTCCAATACTGCTATCTTAGGATCATGCTGTGTGCCATGTGCGGTGATCCTTATCCAGTGGAGCTGATTCTTGGCCCTCTTCTTCATCATCAAAACTGTTGGAGAAGTTCCAACCGGCCGGACACAATTATCCTCGAAACGTACCTTGGGTTTGATAAGCGACGGGTGCAGATAACTCTGACTTCTTATCACAGTAAGTAAAAACCCTTAGCTTGTGTGGAACATGTGTGCAGATAGCATTGACCCTTTCGACAGTGCGAGGTCAATGCTTGTGCTTGTTTAAAAATTGAAGCCAGAAATTTTTAAGACTGTGAATGCTCTCATTCCTCTCCGTTTGTGATCTGTTTTGTTTATTTTAATTTTTTATTTGAAAGTAAGAGTAGCAAAGCATCTGATCTTTATCGATATGTCCCTTCCTCACTTATTTTTCGTTTGCCCCTCACCTTTGTGGTGCTTTCTACCCAACGAAACACCTTTTTTTTCTAGGGTTCTGATTATTGGAAGCCTGAATACAAGTGCTGATATTTTTTTTTTTTTTTGTAGGAGCGTACAGCCTTAATTACCAAATGTATCATGGCTACATCTTGGTGTACTCAGCCATACGAAAAGCCTCGCTAGGAACGCTGAGGTAATGTGATACATAAAACTATTTGTAAAAATTAATACCAGAAAAGCAGCTTGTAACTATGGGAATAATTTCGTCCCTATTTCACCCACTTTTACGTTATTTGAGATGAATTTTACCTCTTCTTAAGAAGCCATAGGAATCCTTGCCCACTTTACCCAAGGTCACTATATTTGGTCTTAATCTCGTGAAACGGCCGCCTAGAATGAAGTGTGGTCGCTAGAATCAAGAAAAACAAAAAAAACGCGCGCCAGGATACCACAAAGGGCCAAATGCAAAAAGCAAATTTCTTTTGAAGAAATCGACGGCGCTTCAATACTATTATAAGCAAATTGTTATCTCAGTTTTAATTAATAACGTTAATATTGAGGAATACAAAACATTGTGCCATTTTACCTGACCGTCGAACACGTGTCACCATATCGGCGGCTAATTATTACTCGCTATGGCGACAAAAATGGCTGTAGGTGGGCGCTCTGCGCCATTTAAAAACAAGAAAAAAGTGGTTGAATGAAAACGATAAGATCGGAAAAGTCCTATGAAGAGAAATCCTCGCCCAATCTGCTACGTACTTAGCACTTTGGAACAGATCTCCAGCAATGTCAGTAACCTCTGACTTGCTCTTTTCCTTTCCTATAGTGGCTTCTCAGGATTTATCCCTCAAGTTCCCATACAGGTGCTTGCAGTAACAGGCAGCGCATCTGGCGCCAGTGTAGTGTTTCACAGCCATGTGGCAGCTTCTCTGTTGGCTGATGGCACAAACCTGGCTAGTAAACTGTTTGCAAAGTTCCAGACCACCTCCTCGCAATTTCAGCACCAAGGTTTGTTTTTTGTTCGACTTAAACCTAATGCAGCATGTGTTATATGGCGTGTCTTTTACCGAGTGGACGGGAGAGAGAACATGGCTCAGGCATCGATTAATTCATAGACGTAATTTTGATTTAATATAAGATTATTTTCGTACACTGTGACAGATCCTCGTACGTTTTTTGATTTTAATGTATCAGCGAAAACGCGTAGGAATCATAATTTTAAGATAAGACCTAAAAAGACGCTTACAAATTACTTTAAATTTTCATTTTTCAATCGCTACTTAAAAGACTGGAATAGTATTCCATCTAACATTATGCGTGCACCTTCATTAAGCAGTTTTAAGTCCTATCTACTAACAAGTATGCAATTTAATTAGGTTAGCTTTGGGCCTTATTTAAATTTTACCTCGTAACTTTTAGTGTCAATTTTAGTATGCAATTTAATTAGATTAGCTTTGGGCCTCATTTAAATTTTACCTCTTAACTTTTAGTGTCAATTTTAGTATGCAATTTAATTAGGTTAGTTTTGAGCCGCATTTGAATTTTACTTCGTAATTTTTATTGTGTTTAATATTGGAAAATATTCTTTTTATGAGAATTTAGTTTCCCCCAGTTATTCTCCAGTAACGCACTTTTCTGTTTTCCGTAATTTTATTTACTTGTGTTAGCATGACAAAGTATGATTAAACCTTAAACCTTTAGTAAGCTTGATAATACTTTAGCCGTATTCCTGTCGCAGAAAGAATGCGATGAAGCAGAAACGATTCGGTCTTTGAAGAGCTAAACCAGCGCACACACTTGAAAAGAAAGGTTCAAGGTGACTGCTATGGTTTGATGTCTTGGTTTTCTAGGCAACAATTTTGCAGCTTGTCTCGGAGTTTTGTTTTTCTTTTTGTTAAACAAACTTCTCAGAGTAACTCTTTTTTCAAATATTTGTAGGACAACTCATTAAAAATCTGTGGCAGCGACGAAGGTTTTTGTAAGCAGTGCGAGAACTAGGTTGGCGCTTTCATCGACAAAGGTTTTTCTTTGTAAAACGATTTGTTTAAAAGAATCGTGTTCATCTTGATTTTCAGCTGGAGCGTTCGCTGCGTTTTTCAATCAAGTTTGGGAAAAGAAGAGAGAGAGCGAGGTAGCTTACACGAAGTTCTTAGCCGAACAACAACTTCGCCTCACGCAAAAACAGCACAATAATTCATTCCGTTCAAAGTACGATCCTCTACCGGAGCCACCAAGGAAGAGGCCGGCTAACAGCGAAGACGAATTCAACCGGAGACAGAGTCTCAGCGAGCGCCAGCAACAGCATCCTTCCTCCCCCAGGTCAGTCCACCGCAGTTCCGATGGGACGTTGGATGACTCCGAAATTAATCCCTACGCGGTGTTTGATTCCGTCAGGAAGCCAGTAGATGCGATGAAAAACGGTGAGGCGAGGGATTCTAGAGGAAGCAGCGAGCTACAACCCTATGCTACTTCGACGCCGAATGCTCTATTTATGAGCCTGAAGCAGAATAGCGTTCCCAATAATACGCCGCAGAGCAGTGATGTCTGGCAGAAGAGAGAGAATAAGTCGGAGGACCTTTACGCTCAAGTTGACCTGTCTCGAAAGCGCTCGTTCAGGAAGTCCAAAGATCTCGCCATGAACGACAGTGAGGTCAACTTGATCGAGAACACTCTCTACGCCAACAATAACTTGGTACAGTCGCAAAAATCTGCCCGAGAGACCCCTCCTACGGCTCGCGAAACTCCACCACCCGTCCCGAAGAGGAATTACGATTTAAGCGAGGATTTCCCGCCCGTAGTCCCTCCTGTGGTCCCTCCCGCGGATGCCAGAATGGACACTCTCAGGAGCAATGATGATGAGGGCTATAACACGTTCAAGAATGAGGACCTTAAGGAAGAAAACCCGTACGCCGCTTTAGTCGAAGTACAACCCAGGCCTTCGTCTATTGCAGCGGAGGATCCTTACTATATGAAAGTAAAGGAAAAGATAAACTTTTTTAACAACAAAATGGCCACACCGAAACAAGACGTATGGGTGAAGATGAATGCAAGACAGGATGAGAAGCACTCATCTGTGCCTGATCTGCAAAGGAAAGAGCCAGATGCAGGAGCACCTCTGGCTCAGCAAGAGGTGAGAGCTTTGCAACACAAATTTAATGCAATTGAATTTCACTTAACGCTAACTACAAAATAGCATCGTAGCTACTCGAGGTGGAATCTCTTCTGCGCGGCACCTTCGCGCAAAACAAGGTTGGTAGTGGTGAGAATACACGCAGATAAGTATGGAAGGCGAGTTAATAACCCGAAATCATCAAGCTATATATATGTCATTATGTGCACCATGTGTTCTGATTGGCTACGCAATCTTTCCTGCTCGGGATTATCCACTTTGATCCTGCACAAGAAAACAATTGCGTGGAGCGGACTTACATTCCTCTTAGCGGGGGTGACAAGTGTGACGCTTAGATTGTTTGTCCGTCATGCAATTGGCGGGAACTACACGTGCGATAGTAATTTTGGTATCATCAATTGAGTTGATAATGTAAATTAGGCACCGTAAAGAGATTCAAGGCTGACGTTTCGAGCGTTAGCCCTTTGTCATTCGTTCTAGCAGTTGATAAAACCAAAATTACTTTGTTACTCCCACTGACGAAGGACCACAGTTTCTTTAGAAACCTACATCCTATCACATGTGCGGTAGTCAAGACGAAAGTGACATGTTGGTCATCTCGTGGCTGTAGGGTGACTCATGACTTAGCACATCAGTTATCTGTCTGGTTCTCTTATCATTTCAGGACGTCAGCGACCCAGAATATGCCCAAGTTCAGGAAGCTTTGAAAAATAATTTGAAAGTACCAGTAAAACCCCGGCCGACCATTTACGCTGTTGCTGTAGTCGAGGAACCCGGCGATTCTGACAAGAAACCAAAACAACATGCAAAGCTCACAGCTAAAAGTTCATTGAGGCTGGCACATTCAGCTGAAGATGTTAGTACTTTGGAGAGGAAATCCAGGCGAGGTGAGTGTAATGGAAAAGATAATTGTACATTTAACTTAGTGTCTTTTTTCTTCTCTCTTTTACGAAAACATCGGAACATTTATTTCCATATCCCAATAGCATTCCCAGGGTTATAAACCTTCCTAATTACTTTCAACTCTCTTCTGGATCTTCTGCTGATTTTTAAGGAGGAGGTTAACAACAACTTCAAAGAATTTACACTCCCTTTTTTAAAACAACTCCCTCTTTCAGAAGCCGGTGTCGATGTGTATACGCTTTTTTTCTGTCTCGATATTGTGAGCGCTTATCACTCCTCGGAGTAAACAGGTTTATAGCACATTTGTGGCTTTTTCTAGACACCTTTGGTCGACCAGTAAATGGAAGACGTGATAAGCGAGGAGATAGCGCCACATCTGATCAAGGAACTGGGGACGAGGCCACTTTGCCTCGAACTGACGATCGCCCAGGGAAGAAGAAAATCATCATCAGACGATCCCGGAGTACTACACGAGGCGACAAGTCGTCCACGCCAAACGTGCCTACAGAGGTACACAAAAAACAGCTGTTCTCTGGGAGGAAATCAGGTGAGCACACGGGATGGGGGCAGGGTATATTTCCTCCGATGTGTTTGGTGGTTGAACTGCTTTTTTGTTTCACACCGTTAGCAAATGATATTTGTAATCTGACGGTGCAAATGGACAGTTGGCTGAATTCAGATACCTGTAATCAGACAGTTACATCAGCCAATCATACTGAGGGCACTGAAATGAATCTACCAATCACAGTTTTGCTAACAGTAACCTTAGCAACGGCCAGCCTTCCAAACTGGGGATTTCCCAAACTATAGGAAGCTGTTCTTGAAGCTCTTTTAGAGAGCTTTTGTTTAAGATTGTAATGGTTAACTATTTTAAGATTGGAATTACAATGCCTTCCTTCAATGAATAGACCACTTTCTTAAATGGCTGCCGTATAAATATTCTTTTGTTTAAATTTAAATTAGCCCTTCTGGCCTCGCTTGAGATA